GTACCCCCAGGCAAGGGGGTATATATGCTAATGTCTCAATTCCCTATTCCAAATGAAGGTTGCTGAGGACAGGAGGTACGGAGGCATGATTTGGTACCAATCCTGGGATCATACCCAGTGTGCCATGCCTTCACCCATTTGCTAGGGAATTAGGCCTCCAAAGTCAAAGATTTGCTTAACTACTCTGTGTAAAGTACATGTTTGGGTACATGTTTGACAAGTATGGAAAATTACAATAATTGCAGCAGTATCTACATCATATGAATTTTCTTATGAATTCTATCCAAATACAATTATTTTGCCATAAAAATATCCCAGGGAGAAAACATTTTGCACATAATAAAGTGTGCTGTTTAGTCCCTAACGATCCCTGAATGGAACTTTCTAGCACCTGTTTGGCGGTTAGTGGCTAGACCCATCCTTCAATTATGAAGATAGCAAAATACCCAGAATGCATGTGTCTGTCTGTCTGTCTGTCTGTCTGTCTGTCTGTTCATTACTGAAAACTAACCACAGGACCCTGCATGTTCCAAACACACCCTCTACTACTGAGCTACATCCCTCACCCTCTCCTAATTTACTCTTTTGAGAAGGAGATTACCAAATTTCAAAGCTGATGTTGAACTCACTGTATGACCCCTGTAGACCTTCCACTAGTGATCCTCCTGCCTCAGCCCCCTGAGTAGCTGGGATTGAAGGCTTGCACCACCAGGCTCACTTTACAGTAATATCTTTTGACTCCCATCCCATGGCCATTTTTGAGACAAAGTCTTTTCGCCCCCATAAATAATCATAATTCAAAAAGCGAGTCCTTAAAAGATTTGCTAAATTGCCCAGTTTAAGTTGTTCGCTTTAAATTAGCAGTTCACCTCTCCTGAGCTAGTCCAATCATCTCCAAATTGATGTCCTCACTCTTCAACTAGAAACCTCAGTCTACACAGTGACTCTGAAGAGAAGGCCTCATTTCATTGCAACCTCAACCTCTTTAATGCCCCCACTATGAAGTCCCAGGTCCTTAAGGTGACATCTAACTTCACAGGCTTAATTGGCTGCTAACACGTCCCTGCATACTTCCTACTTATCTTCCTGTCAGACCAACTCCTGATTCCCCAAGGTGATTGTCCCTTACCTTGGATTAGCATCTTCTACCCCCTAACATCTTCCCAGGGCAACATACCCATCCTTCTAGGTCAAGGCCAAGTGTCATTTCCTGTCCCAAACTCCCCCGTACCGATCAGCAGTAACTTCTCTGTGTGCTCCCATATCATGGAGCTCATCTCTACGAATGCACACATTACTTTCTATTCAGTTACTATATGTCATAGTTATTCCATAGTGATGATGCATCATATTATGTGCCCAGCTCTCCACTTTTGATAATTTAAAAATAGTCATCTAGAACACAAAGAATGCATTATGTTCAAACACATCCATTGAATATCTAACATGGATAGGTACCATGCTCTTCCCAGAATACCACAATGCAACCCTGAGCAAAGCCCACTGTTGGCACCAAGGGTGCTTCCAATAGGGTCTGCAGCAGACCCTTTAGAACGGAGCTTAATGAGCCACAGTAGAGCTTTGCAGTGTGCTCGATCTTGAACGAACTTAAGAATTTAATAAGTAAGTCAAATAGAACTATACTCTTTTCTGAATAAACTTGATGCCAAAGTATCCAGTAGCAAGATTTCATGCAAATGGGATTCCCAAAGTCTCAGATGTTGCATAGCTTTATACAAAAAAGATGCAGAAATGGATTATTGGCTACACAATGGGACCGGCTTTACTAAGTTCCCTTTCTTTGTAAGGTTTTATAATCAAGCAAATCCTAATGAATGACTGATTGTAGCAAATAAAAATCAGAGTTCAAAGGAGGAATGCCATCCTGCAGACTTAAAATTCCTTGTGGACTTCTTTATCACAACTATCAAACTAAATATCCCAGTGAGACTACTTAAGTGAACAGCAGAGGTAGGTGGAATCTCAAACATGTAGGCCCCCATTGCAGAAGGACCAGGGTGGCTCTTCTGAAGCAAGTGTGGAAGGAGAGCCATTTAGAGAGTTCAACTGATAGCCACCTAACAAGTAAATGCTCCGGCAAGTACCAAGGAACAAGAAATCTTTAAAAAAGAAAACCTGGAATGCCACTCCAGAGGACAGTTACCAGGGCCACCAACCACTTAGCAAATTGACTAACCTTGTACGACTTGAGGTTTCCCCCAGGCTTGTCATCTCCTTTCCACCCACCTCATCTCCTTGTGATGAACAGTAACAAAAAGGTCATGTGGTTGTCTTCATGACCACTGTGCCCCATTCACGTCCACTCTCCGCAGAGAGATGCCGCCCACACCCTCCAAAGAATTGAGAATTGTTGAGTTTAAGTGAGAGGCTAAAGCCAGATTACACTCCTGAAAACTGTAGTGGAGAAAATGGAGTGACAGCTGTGTCACCAACAAGACTCTTGATATTTTTGGCACTGGAAAAAATAGGACTTCACCTACATCTCATCTCACACCAGAGAATATCTCCCAAGTGTGACACATTGACACCTCAAAGAAGAGATGACAGACTTCTCCCAACATCTCATTGCCAGTCCCATCTCTCATGCAAGCTTCATCACATGCTTGGAGGCTGTCTCTATGCACACACTTCCATCTACACACACACACCACACACACGAAAGAGTCATAGCATTCATTGATGCATGCGGTTTTGCTAACCCGAACCCAGGCTGATCTAGAAAAAGACTATTGAAATGTTGGTAAAGAAACAAAAAATCACTGTTATCATAACCATCTTTAGCAAAAGCTACCTGTAAAGTGCTAACCTTTAAAAAGAACATCTAGGGGTCCAGTGAGACAGCTTAGTTGTAAAGTGCTTGCTGGGCAAGCCTGGCTACCTAAGTTCAATTCCCAGAGCCAGTGAGAAGATGGGAGAGACGTGACCCCACAAAGTGTAGTCTGACCTCCACATGTTTGCTGTGGAACACACATGCATCATGTATGTGCACATACACGCATGAAGTGCACACACACACAAATAAATACTTTGCTAGGCCCTTTGCAGGGGTCTCATAGGTGGTATCTCTTTCTCAGTAAACAACACCCCATCAACCCAGGCAGAGGCGGATGAACAGGACCACACCTCCTATGTGTTTTAGCAGAGTAAAGGCATGGTGTTCTCTCTTGTCTGTTTTTCTCTACAGCCTCCCTGTACCCATGGAACAAACTGCAGCTCAACCATGGTCTCATCTTAAGCAGGCATCTGACCAACTGGACCAAAAATACAGAGACATACTGAGACAGGGCAGAGATAACTACCAGTGTAAGCAGGCCCAGCAAGTACCTCGTGGAATGCCTGTAGAGCATAGGAATTTATGTATCTGAGAATGACGGGAGGTAGGTGGTTCTGAGTCCTAAACTGAATGAAAGGCAGAGATCATTGAAGGAAAGGAGAATTGTCTGACTTTGTCACTGTTGCAAATTTAATACTCTGGGGCTTTATTCTCTTCCTCTACTGTCATGAGCAACAAAACTGAACAACTCCTTTCAAGCATCAAAATAGCACCTCCCACTCATGAATATAACCCTGGCACACACATTCAATATTTTGCCAATTTTTCTATATGCCCTGTCTCTCATCTCTATGTCAGTGTTATTTCTAATTTCTATGACAAAAATCCACCAATCGCTACAAGACTGGACCCAACCTCTACAGAATTATATCTAGGTAGGGCCTTGAATGGGCCTTCTCTGGATATTAACAAAATGAGGGCAAACATTTGCGTCCCCCACCCCACTTTTTTGAGAAACAGGACAAGAATTTTAGTGACTACAGATAGGTGCTGACCCCAAGATCACAGAAGTTCCTAGCCTACTGGCATTTTTAAAAATAAGTTCAAACACTTTTAATTGGTACCCCAACATCTGCTCTCTCTGTATATATTATTGTCTTTCAAATTCAAAACCAAATACATTTCCCATCATCCTCGTGGGTGTGGAGGTGCTTTGTAAATCTATTAGATTTGGCCCAAGAAGCTAATTTTAAAACATCTGGCACACTTGAGTGGTACTTCATTTCACGATTGAACATTATCTTAATAAAAGCCAACCCTTATATTAGACTTTAAAAAAAACTTAAAATAAATTTCAACCAGTTAGGCTTTTCTGGGCAAGTCAGAGAGAACAAACACTGGCAACTTCTTGGTCAAGCATGAGGCTTTCCACTACAGGAAACGGGTGGCTTTCCTGTGGCCAAAACGAAAGTATCCTTTTCTGCCTTTTGTAGCTACCACGTCACGGACGAGGGGCACACGCTCTGTGGCACCGTCCTTAACTCGCACAACACCCTGTCTCAAAAAAGAAAAAAAGAAAAAGAAGAAGAAGCAGTCACCCATGGTTATTCTCAGGTTAGAGAGAACCAACCCCACAGCACTCAGAACTCGCCTACAACTGTGAGGTAACTCCAAGACAAGATGCATTACTAGATTGCGTAGCTTTTCAGAAAACTTCGTCTGCCTTCAGGAAACAAATGATGGCTTATTCCAGTCGCTTAGATCACGCTCACATAAGTCACGGCACCGAAGATTAAGAAACGAGGTCGCGTTGAGACAAGTACAAAGTAAAGTCCGAGCAGGACCTTTTTTAAACTCGTACAGGTTTCAACCATACAGAATCCCGTAGCTCGACCTGGGACCAATAAAGAGACGCGATCTGAGACAGGCAGAGAGCCTGTCAGTGCTGCACTAAGAGCTGATAACTGTGTCTGACTCAGCTGAATATAGCTCCCGGAGTGAATTTCCATGGGACCAAGGTCAGGTTTAACATGATAACGTTTGCCAGAAACTTTATAAAATATCCCTGGAGCAGTGAGCGAGAGAAAAATGGGCATATTTTCACAGAAGTGAACTCTGAGACTCCAGCCTGATTGCACACAGTAGCACATTATAGCCAAAGGGGGCGGGGGGGGGACTGTAAAGAAATGGAGAGAAACAGAAGTACCTGCTTGAGAAGAATGTCGCCCAGAGACTGCCTTCTTATGCTAGACAGTGGCAGAGGAGGGGGCATTGGCCTCTCCTGGCGTCACAGGGCTGCGGAGCATGGAGCCTTGTGTTTTCGGTTTTGGTAGAATCCGTTCGGAGGCTGTTATGACCATGAAATTAGGAAATGCAGAGACTCAGAAGCAAAGAGCTAGCACCACCACTTGACTGGGATTGGAAACTCTGCACCGGATAATAGGGGAGGGGGTGGCCTTTCTCTCTCCAGCCAGGCCTGATTCCAACTTTCTCAGCGGTTGCCTACAGATAGATGTTTGCAGAGGGACAAGCCTCTGGGTGAAGCTAGCTATGACTTTTTTTTTTAAGGTGATCCAACCCATTTTCTCTTTCCTTGCAATAAAGTGCAAAGTCTAGACAAGCATGTTGACTTGGAAAAATAAAGTAAGAAAGCGTTCTTTCTGACACAGATTTTTTTCCTCACCCAAAATTAGCTAAGAAGGGGAGTAAGGGTGTTTCTAAGGTGAGCACTTCTCATAGTTTCTCTTTCACTCACTGACCAAACTAGCTAAGCCAGCGAGCAGTTCAGCAGTTCTTGTCAGTGATTAATGAGGCTCCTGATTTTGGAAACCTACACCAGCTTAGCCTGAGCTGATTCTGAAATCCTTCAGGTATATGAGCTTTCTATAAACTGCTTGACATTTCCTGCTGTGATTTACAAGTCCTGTTTGCTTTGGGGCTTTAATCTTGTGTTTTGTTTTGTTTTGTTTTGTTTTGTTTTGTTTTGTTTTGTTTTGTTTTGTTTTGTTTTGTTTTGTTGAGACTAGGTCTCACTCTGCAGTTCAGACTGGTCTTAAAACTCTTAGGATTCTTCCTGCCTCAGTCTTCCAAGTGCTAAAATTACAGGTGTAAGCCAACATGACTGGCTTTTTAAAAAGCTTATTTTGTTTGTTTTTCTTTTTTTAAAAAAACTCAGAGACAGAAGTGCTGAAGTAATAATATGAGATTGGAAATATTTTAAATTTATTTTCCTTTTTTTGGTACTAGGGATAGACACAAAACTTTGATGTGCTGACCAAACACATTACCTCTGATCCACAGACCCCTAATCTTTTTAGACCTTTTGAAATTTTAATAGCTCATAAAATCTGTTGTGTTTTATGTAACATGTGCTTTAAATGCTGGGTTGTTGTTTTAATGTCTTAGTTTTTCTTTTTTCTTTTCCCATTCTATAAGTCTGAGAAAGAACACTTTTCTAGAGGTAAGAATGTTAATAGGCAAAAGACCAGAAGAGACCCCTCTGGCCACTGTCTCGATCCCTATGCATGCACACTGCATCTCAGAATTGGCTGAGAGGAGAAAAGATGTGAAGTGTCTCGTGACTGATGATCTACACATTCTTTATGATAAGTTGTCTTAATTGTCTTCAGTTTTCTATACCCTAGGATTTAATAAGTTGTCTTAATTGTCTTCAGTTTTCTACACCCTAGAATTTGGCCCCAAAGTAATTCAGATACACAAATGTGTCTGAATTTAACTCCCCCAGACTTCATAGCGTAAGATGTATTTTAGTTAGTATTTTAGCTATCTGAAATGTTTTATTTCAAATTAATGAACGTTAAACTTAATACGACTCATTTATGGGAAGGAATAATCACCTAGCTTAAGCATGTCAGAGACGGCTCCAGCTTTGTTTTTATTATGATTTCCTGTGAAAGGCAAGTGAGTCAACAAAATGTTTTGAATAGTCAAACATTTTAAAAGCCAAGTGGTTTTTTATCCTTCTAAATTAATTGAATCCCTCCGTTATTTGATTTGTCAGGATGGATGAATCATGCTTTCAAATAGCATTTAGCTACCTGTTAGAATCAGTAGTGCGCATCAATCCAGAGAAGAAAATTACCTAGGGCAGGAGTTCTCGAAATAGAACATCCATCAGATTCAGAAGCAACTGTAGCTTATTTCTTTGTCGTGGAGGGGATGCGTATGAGTGGACAGGCACCCGGAAGTCTGTGGGTACACACCTCTGCCCATGCGTGCAGACGCCAAAGCAAGACTCCGCTGTGCCTCTCTATTGCCCTCCACAGCACTTCCTTGAGACAGGTATCTCAGTGAACTGGAAGCTGGCTGGGCTAGTTGGCCAGTGAGCATTTAGAGAGACAGAGAGACAGAGACAAAGAGAAATAGTGTGTAGTGTGTACGTTTGCTGGGATTACAGGCACATATAGCCACGCCCAGTATCTTTACATGATGCTAGAGATTTGAACTCAAGCCCTGATGCTTGCAGATCAAGCAGTCTTACCCATTGAGCCTTCTCCCCCGGTCTTCTATGCCCTTTTATTTAAAATACAGATTTGTAATATTAAAATGTATATGAGGGTTCCGAGGGGGGGTGGGGGATGGGGTAAGGGGACAACATAGGAAATGTAAATAAATCATCCAATAAAAAAAAAAAAAGAAAAAAAAAACAAAATTATATCTCAGAAACTAGTTAGTTTTAAATGTTTTCTTTTACCTCAAAATCTGAAGTGACTGGAGCATCTAAAAAGGCACTTTATTGAGTGGGCTGAAAGCAAAAGGAAGAATCAAATGAAATTGTGTGTGGACATAAAATTAAATGGGTGAAAACAGTAAAATGCTTTTCATGGTTAGAATAAAAGTCAATATTTAGTTAAAAAAAAATGTATATGAGGCTGTGTGTCCCTAAGGGACAGTTGTAATGCCCCCTTTGCATTCTAGACTATGCTTTCTTAAGTGGAAAAGAATGAAAACATCAGCAATGTCTTCCAGATGGATGCAGGTGTCTAACGTGTCAGGACAGGTGCTCAAAGCACAGAGCGAGCTGCTACTGGCAGGCAAAGAAACCATGGGAGGCTGAGACTGTGTACATACTCAGGCTAGAGCCAGTATTCATCAACTTCAGGGGGGTCAAAGTCAAGCCTCCATGCCATAGACCTCGGCTGCAACCTCTGAGAACGCACAGAACCACACCCAGGCAACAAACATGGATGTGTATGTTGTACTAGGTGTTGTTCTGCAGTTTAGCTTCCTCATGAGTTCACTACAGATTAATATATATATATATATATATATACACACATATATATATATACATACATATATATACATATATATGTATATATATATGTGTGTGTGTACATATACATACCCATATACATATACATATATGCCAAGACCAAACCATAGTTTTAAAATATTCTGTGTTTTTCATGGGACAAAAACTCTCCTTTGAGGGAAAAAATTGTCAAATTAGACTATATTTAACTGTATTAGACTAACTGGATAATGAACAACACAGAAGAAAAGGGTGATTCGCCGGGCGGTGGTGGCGCACGCCTTTAATCCCAACACTTGGGAGGCAGAGGCAGGTGGATTTCTGAGTTCGAGGCCAGCCTGGTCTGCAGAGTGAGTTCCAGGACAGCCAGAGCTACACAGAGAAACCCTGTCTCAAAAAACCAAAAAAAAAAAAAAAAAAAAAAGAAAGAAAAGGGCGATTTAACTGAAGAAGTAGAAGACGGTACATTTGAAGCAAATACAGAGCCAATCGAATCTCTGCAGGACCATTCCAAGTGAAGCGGCGTGTCTTCCTCATTTCTTCACATGCGTACTTCCACATGTAAAATAAAATCTATCCTTTCATCACGAGCATGTCATCCACTATGTCCTTATTAATAATGAGAGAGGGCCAGCATGCACATTCCCTCTTCATGTCGTATGCTTTATTAAGAAACACCAAACGATGAATTCTAGAAGTTTTTCTAGGTTACAACCTTGGTTTTTGTTTTTTGGGTTTTTTGGGAGGAGAGGGGGGTTGTACATCCTTTTATTTCTAAAGTAACCACTAACAGCCCAGTTTCCACAGTAAAGGAAAGCAGAAAATTGATATAGTCTGTCTGGGTCATTCAAGTAAAATCTTGCTGTGAAACAGATGATGCAGGCTAAAATATTTTTTTTTTATTTGGAGTGTGTGTTTTTGTCCAAAACCCCAGATGATAGCAGCTCTTAGAACTCAAATATATAGGTAATTCCCCTGATTCTCCATTTGCCCTTATTAACCAGATGCTTCCACTGAGCACTGCCCAAAGGCTCTCTCGATTCCACCACACAGGAAAAGGTAGCCATGAACTTTTAGTCCTCCTCATGAAGAGAAACTCAAATTGAGATCTCCTACCTAGAGATAGCAAAGAGTTCCTGACCACTCACCCAGCCATTTCGGTAAAGAAATGGTCCTGCCCATGGCTCCTGTTGCCTGGTGTCTTCCCGTCTGCTGCCTCTAATTGCTAATTGAGTAACTATTAGGCATCTGCCCAGCCAGTGATCTTGCGCTGGATCTAAGACATCAGAATTGATCATGAGTACTGTGGTTTGAATATGAAGTACTCCCCCAAGCTCATGTGTGGTCCTCAGCCAGTGCCACTGTTTAGGGAGACTGTAAACCTTTTAAAGGTGGGACGTGGTTAGGGGATGCAGGCAGCTGAAATATAGGCCTGTGGGTTATAGCTGAGTCCCCATTCTGGCTGGCATTCTGCTTCTTGAACTCCAGTGTGTGATGAATTCTAGCCTCTTGGTTCAGTGGCCGTGAACTCCACCAAACCTTGTCCTCTCCTGACGGACTGGACCCATTCAAACCATAAGCCAACATAAGTCTTTTCTACCTTAAATTTTTATCTCATGTATTCTGTCACAGCAACAAGAAGATTAACAAATATCATGGCCAACTACAGGGGGCCTGAAGGGATATGAAGTTTTAAGCTTCAACAGGGTAGTGGGCCTCAGCAAGGACATCTTGATAAAGTACAGTAGAAAACACAGGAGGCAGAGACTCCAGTTAAGTGAAGTCATCCCTATTTGGACAGAGAAAAATCAGTCAGCAGAGATTAGTAGGCATGGGGCCCTGGACCCACAATTACCTCACTCCATTTGCACACTCACATAGATCTCACTTTCCTCAGTAACTTATCGTCAGGTGGCTGAGGACATCTTCTCCAGGATTTCATGTGCTGGTCATAGGAGGCGTAAAACCCAGCAGTCCTACTTGCAGTGTATAGAGATGGGGTGGGGCTGGCAACATCGTGATGGTATGACCAACATCCAAGGAGGCTGTC